AGATCACGCCATTGCACTCCAGCCTGGGCAACAAGAGCGAAACTCCGTCTCAAAATAAATAAATAAATAAATAAATAAATAAATAAAAATAAATAAATAAAACTACCTGATAAAGAATAACTATGACCTTTATAAAGAGAATTTTAAAACACTATTTAAGTTACTAAGTTATGACATTATTTAAGACCCAAAAAAGAATCACAAAAGCATACTACGTTAATGGAAAGTCAGACTCAATATTGTAAAGAATTCATTTTACTCAAACTAGTTTTTACAAAAAAAAAACAAATTCTAAAATTTATGTGGTAGAAGAAAGAGGTAAGAAAAGCTAAGATGTCTCTGAATAGCAAAAATATGTGAGGGCCTTTGTCTCAGTATTTTTCCAGCCTTATTATAAAAAACTTATTATTAAGATAATGTGGAGTTGTTACAGGTATAGGTAAATTTTTACAGGAACAGGATAGAGATCTCAGAAACAGCCCTATGCCAATATGTAAATTTGAAAAATATCACAGATGTAACATAAATTATTAGTGTGGAAAGGATGCACTTAGTAAGGATGGTACGAAAGGTTTAGAGGAAGACAAAACCAGTATCTCAACTTCCTCCACACACCTTACAACAATTCCTGCTGAATCAAAGATTTCCATTTCAAAGTGAAAGTTTAAAATTTTTATAAGGAAATAGAGCAGGATACCTTTAAGACATCAAAATAAAGTGCTTCTTAAATAAAGCATTAAAAGGGCAATTCAAAAGTAGATTGATAAGTTTGACTACATTAAAATTAAGAACTTCCGTTCCTAACACCACATCGTAAAAAAACAAATCAGAAACTGGAATGCATTTACCACAAAAATAACTGACAAAAAATGAATAGCTAGGATATACTATAATGTTTTTAAGTCCTATCTGGAACAGTTAGTTTATTTTTCTTTGTATTTTTTTCTTCAATAAATGATGATATACTAAACACCTTTGTATTCACCTCCTTTTGCTAAGAGTGTAATTACTATGTCAAAAATGCCATGATTTTCATTTACATAAATATGGTCCTACCAAGATGTTTTCTCAGTTACTACCCTGTCGCAGGCTGATCGTAGTTCCCAGAGATAAGTCCTCACACAAATTCCCAGAACCCAAGAATGTTGCCTTATTTGGAAAAAGGGCCTTTTCAGATG